TAGTTGTCAACATTATTGAAAGTGTATATCGAAGTTAACTTACCTATTTTTCTCTTCAATTCTGTCAGTTTGTTGCTTCATATGTTTTGAAGCTTTATTGTTTGGTGCATCTATGTTTGTGATTGTTGTCTTGTTATGTTTTCTTGATTAATTGGCTCTTGCCATTATAAAATGTATCTAGTAACAATTTTTATTCAAAAGCACATTTTGTCTGATATTAATATAAACACTCCAGCTCTCCTTGGCTACTGTTTTCATGAAATTTTTTTTCAACTTTTTAATTTTCAACACATGAATATTTGTATCTGAATCTAAAATGTGTCTCCTGTAGACAGTATATGACACGGTCATTTTTTAAAAAAATTATTTTCTCAATCTCTATACCTTGATTGACATGTTTAATCCATTTACATTTAATGTCATTATTGATAAGGTAGGATTTATGTCTGCTATTTTGCTTTTGTTTTCTGTTTTATGTTTATATATTTCCTCTGTTACTCCATTACTACCTGTTTTTGTGTGTTAAATAGAGATTTCTTAGTGTACCATTTCAATTGCCTTGTCATTTATTTTACTATATATTTTTAAATCATTTTCCTAGTAATTGCCCTGAGATTACAAATAATATCTTAATTAATAAAATAATCTGTATTGTATTAATACTGACTTAATGTCTATAGTATATAAAAATACTTTGTATATTCAATAGTATATAAAAACTCTGTAGTGTCCTACCTTTCCTCATTTGCTAGTGCTCTTATTGTACAAATTGCATTCTTATACATGTATAATATTTACAGGAATTTATAATTATTATCTTATGTTTATTGTCTTTTAAATTAGGTAAGAAAAAAGTTTTACAAAGTAATGCCTTTATCCTGTTTTTTATATTTTTCTGTGTAGTTATGTTTACTGATTCTCTTTATTTCTTCTAGTGTATTCAAGTTGCTGTCTAGTGTACTTTCTTTCAGCCTGAAGGACTTCCTTTAGTATTTCTTATAGGAAAGATCTTCTAGTGACAATTTTTT